CCAGAGCTCCTCCTCCTTCCTGCAACAGGGGGAAAACACAGTTCCTCTGTAAATTACATCCTTTAGAAAAGGGCATCAAAAAACACAAATAAGCTATCTCTTCCATCACTAAAGACTAAGAGGTTCTGACTCTACTTTTCATCTTCCCTCTATGGTATCTTTTCTTAAAAAATTCTAATTTATATATAAACAGTTTTTTAAAATTATGGTTATTTTAGAGAATCTCGGGGGGGGGGAACCCTTTATTTAGTATATGAGTGAAAAAGTATGCATGATTTGTAAAGACTGAAAATGGACCAACTTAGCCATTTTCCAAGATGCCTTACAGAAGAAATAAAAAAGTATTACAAATCTTATATTCTTGTGTGTGTGTGTGCTTAGTCACTCAGTTGTGTCTGACTCTGTGATCCCATGGACTGGGATATTTTCCCAGGAAAATACTGGAGTGGGTTGCCATTTCCTCCTCCAGGGCATCTTCCCGACCCAGGGATCGAACCCAGGCCTCCTGCACGGCAGGCGGAGTCTTTACTGCTGAGCCATCGGGGAAGTCCTGTTTTCTTTTTTTCCAGATGCTACTTTATCAGTTAATTTCATGGTGACAGTTGAAGGGTGTTTTCTAAACCCACAGAACTATAAGTCTGCCCCTAGGGCAGAAACAGACTGTTAGCAGATAATACCAGGTACTGCTAGATGCTCAACACACACCTGGACTTAATAATTTAATAACTGTCCTGCCATGACCTCCCTCTCCTCCCTCCCTCTTTCTCTCCCCTCCTCTCTCTCACACACACCAGTTTTAAATCCAGCTAGCAACACCAAACACAAGTGATCCAAGTTAACCCAGCAACTGGTTACTCAGAGAGCGGGAACTATCAAACCCAGCTGTGAACTACTGCTACCGTCCAGTACAAAGGGAGACATCGAGAAACAGACGTTTCAAAGACGGTAAAAGCATCTCTTCTCGTAGCAAAGAAGCTGTGGTTCCTTTGGTATTGCCAGGGAACTCCCGCGTTGGTGCCTCTCGGGATCTGCATGTGTACACAAGCATGTGAGTAACAAGCCTCCCTCAGACGGTATTTTCACAAGGACCAGCCTGGGTTCCTGCACACGTCACATGCTAAGCCTGCAGGTTCAGGGCCGGGCACCAAGCAAGTCTTCTCCAGCACGACGCACCTCACCACCGTAAGGCATCTCGTGGCCCAAGCGGTAAGTCTTCCAAAACTTTTAAAAAGACTACTAGATACTTCAATTTCTAATTTCTAATGCTTCCTTTTGCAATATTTAAATTGCCCTATAACTACACATCTATCTAAGAAAAAAAGATCTTTAGAAGGATTCTATTGTGTATTGCTCAGCCACACAGAGTGGAAAACCATCTCTGGCACTGGGTGTTATGTGAGTTCAAATCATACAATTAAACGTAAGTATATAAAAATACAGTGGTACAGGAAGGGCCAGGGATCAAATCAAACCACCTCTGTGACACTCATTCATTCAGTCAGGAAATATCCAAACATACTGTGGTTAAACAGCAAGCAGAGTGGGTTATAAATTCAAGGCTGACACCACCAGAGGAATGTAAATTGGTACAACCACTTTGGAAAATTGGCCTCAGCTAGTAAAGCTGAGAATGCACGCGTCTGACACAGCAGTACTCAAACTGCCCTGCACAGAAATAACCCAGATGTCCATCAACAGCAGACGACTAACAGATAACTGTGAGGGAGTCATACAAATGTGAACCAATTACAGTCACAGGTGACAACATGGACGAATCTTAAAAAACTGTAATGCAGCAAGAATTTAAACCAAAAACTCATATACGTGTGTACATACATATATGAATGCATATATACACACACTTACATATATACATATATGTGACATTGGCTGCCACCCCCAACAAAAGGATTTACAAGAATACCTACTTTGATTCTACTTGCATAAAGATGAAAACCAGGGAAAATGAAACTGTATTGTCTAGGGATGAATATTTAGGTGATAGGACCTCCCTAGCACTACAGTGGATAAGAATATCCACCTGCCAACACACAGGACCCGAGTTCAAACCCTGGTCTGGAAGATTCTACATGCCTCAGGGCAACTAAGCTCGTGTGCCACAACTACCAAAGCCTGCGTACTGGGAGTCCAAGTTCTGAAACGAGAAGCCGCAACAAGAAGCTTGCACAACACAACGAAGAGGGTAGCCCCTGCTGACTGCAGCTAAGGAAAGACTTCACAGGGACAAAGGCCCAGAGCAGCCAAAAATGAAATAAACTAATTAAAATACACATACATTCAGGTGATAAAAACTATACAAAAGAAAGGAAATGATTCTCACAAAAATGAAGCTAGTTACTGGCTAGGTTTCCTCTAGAGGGAGGAGAGAGGTGGTCACTGGAAGAGTGAGTTCCTGACCTGCAAGATGGTTACAGCTGTTTTCCTTAAAATAATTAAGTTATCCATTTATGTTTTATACCCTTTTGTGTGTTACTATTCACAAGTTAAGAAAGGTTAAATAAATACAATGTTGGTTTTCAGGAATTCAGAAGCCTTACAATTCTGGCCAATCTGGGGAGAGACTCCTTCTGCTTGGAATATCACTACTGCCCTGTCAGTTTCATGAGGTCAGTGACCTTATTTGCCTTCTACCCCAGTATTCAGCACTTAACTTTTCATATAGCAGAAGTCTCAATAAATGTCTAACACATAAACCCATAAACTCTTTTTTTTTTTTGGCCATGCCCAACAACTTGTGAAATCTTAGTTCCTTGATCAGGGACTGGACCCAGGACTCGGCAGGAAAATTGCAGGGTCCTAACTACTGGACCACCAGGAAGCCATAGACTCTGATGTGAATTTTGTTTTAGCTCAAATATCTTCTGAAATTACTGATTTGAACGGTTTTCACGGAAAACATTAACGTTTTCCTTTCTCTCTCTTCACCACAGTGAGGCTTTCATAAATAACTAAAGCTATCATCTTAAACGCTCGCTAAGTTTACACCCAGGACTGTTGCTTCAGCAACTCCCTTCGCCTTCAACTCCCTTTTACACCTCCTCATAAGCAAAGACAAATACATGAAGTTTTTTTTTAATGGCAAAGTTTCCTTTGCAACCAAGAGTAGCGCCAAGGATCTTACTGATTTAACTGTTTTGAAGTTCATTTGCCTATTGTCTGGAGAAAATACTACCAGTGCTATCAGGGTTAGTAAAACTTAACAACCAGCTGGACTAAAAACATATAGCTACCTGTTCTAGACAGAAACCAAGTGTCTATAAGCAGGACAGTTTCAAAGTTAATACTTACAAATAATAAAATAAAATAGTTAAAAATGTCACTCAGAAAAAAAAATAGAAAAGCTAGAAGTTTTCAGACTATGCAAACCAGAAAAAAGAATCATTCTGTACAAACATTCAAGAAAATGCTTAGCAAAGTCTGAAAGAACACACATAAACCAATAAAAATATACACAGCGATTACTTTGGGGACAGATGCTGGAAACAAAGTTTTAATCTTATCTGTAAAGTTTTAATTTTTTAGAACAGAATGTTTAATTCTTTTGGTACTGGGGAAAAGTCTTTGTAACCCACCTTGCCTTAAGATAAAATCCCAATCGCAAAAGAATCTAGCAAACACAGATTCCTCCTTAAGAACCAACATTTTAAAATTCTAAAGTTTTAAAGGATTTCTTGGACTTACACACCTGGCCAGTTGTGTGTTGTTTTTTTAAAAAATAATAAGAATATACATTTATACCATTGTATTAAAGAATATTGCAGAAATCATATGTACATTCAACCACTGTGAGAGTTCAACTGAGAACTCAGCATAGACACGTTGGACACTGACGTTTAAAAGCCTTGGAATGAAGGAAACTGTCTCCCGTTTTATGGGGGGAAAGCCAAAAATATCAAGCATCTACCTCTCCTCCCCCAAGCGTCAGAAGATGAGTCAGAGCTGGAGGCAGGAATAGGGCCCATGTGTCAAGCCACTCGTGCAGGGGGCCTTCCTACCTCCACCAGGCAGCCCTCTGCCCCCACCCAGGTCAGGGTCCCTGCTCAGCCTGTACCTGGTGTGAAGGCTCAGAGGTCTCTAGTGAAGGAGAGGCAGCTATTCCTTCTGAGGGGTGCCTCCTTCCCTGCGTTTGTAAAGGCAACCCGCGAATGGAGGCCTTTAGGAGTCCACAACAAGGAACAATTACGGAACACCAAATGCAGCTCAAGAAAAGCGGAGCTTCCAGACACGTTCAGGTAACTTTGGAAAGAATACAGCACCTTTGTTCCTCTGGCTGAAAGAGCAGGAAACACGGAGAGCAGCTATGACTTGTCTGGTATCACTTCACTTTGTGACACCGCCGAGTCCCAAGCCTGGAGATGCTGACAGTTCCAGCCTGTGTGGCTTTTAACTGCTCTGTACAATCTCAGGGAGTCTGCTCCAACATTCCATGACACTTCTGACTAAGAATCCCTCATGGACTAGGAATTCCAGGAACTCTGGTCTATATTCCTTTCAGATGAGTAAAGAATCAGGACTTGACTTTTTGCCTCCATGTTCACATCTGTAAAATAGGATGGTACTGCTTTTTACCTACCTCCCTCATAAAACTACACAGAACAACTAATTCACACATGCTAAATGCCCTGAGGTCTTCCTGGATGAAAAGAACAAGGTACTTAAAAAAAAAAAAATCCCTACACCGTAGAACTGCATTTTAAAGTCACACCTCCTTCCCTTGCCTCTGGGATGCCCAGTTACCATAACACTAGCTGGTACCATGGGCAACATCCACCTAAATAAAATATACAATCCAGCGAAGGCAGCTACATACAACATGCAACTAACTCCTCTCGCACACAAACAAGAACTCAACTTCGCTTTGGAGCAAGGGTACTTAAGAGAAATAAAAAGATAACGCTGGCACTGCGCACACCAATCCACCACCGTAGAGAAACCCTCAAGTTGAATACTCGGCATTGCTGAAAGTCAAGTTGCTTCTATCACTGCACCAGAAACCTTCGGAAGAGGCAAGAAGCCGCCGACGCTCCCGAGGCTCGGAGCGGGCGAACGGTGGCGGCGGGGCGAGGAGGCAGAGAGAGACCATGGCTGGACCGGGGAGCAGAGGGGTCAGGGAGGGGGAGGGGAGCAGAGAGGATGCTCGCGAGGAGCCGAGGGCCGGGACCCGGGCCCAGGCGCCGCCGCAGCAGGAGAGCAGCCCGGGTGGGCGGCCGGGGTGGGGGGTGCTCCGAGCGCCCGCGAGGCGGGGCCGGGCGGGGAGGAGGGGTCGCGGCGGAGGGCGCCGGGCCTCTCCTCTCCCAGCCGGCCAGAAGATGCGAGAAGCGCCCGGGAGCAGGTGGGGGACGCAGGCATAAAGTTTCTGGAGAACCGGCTCGCGCGGGCCCATGGCCGTCCGCTCCGGCCAGGGCCCCCGGGGCCCGCTCGGCGCCAAGTCCCGCCCGCCCGCTGTCCCCCGCCCGAGCCCGCGGGCCCCGTACCGGCTCGCCCAGGCTCACGGCCAGCGCTCTTCTCTGCTGCGCGGCTCCCGGCGTCTGCGGGCTGGCCGCCGCGCGCGCCCCTCCTTCTCTCCTCCGCCCGCGCCCGGGGCGGGCCGCGCGCACGCTCGCTGCGCCCCACCGCCCTCTCCCGGGGGCGGGGCGGGCGCTCGGGGCGGGGGCGGGGCCTCGGCGCTCGGGGCGGGGCCTCGGCGCTCGGGGCGGGAGCGGGGCCTCCGCGCGAGAGGCGCGCGGCGGGCTCCCGGCCCGCAGACCCGGGGGCGCGCGGAGCCGCAGGCGGCGCGCGTGCGCACTGTGCGCTCCGCCGCGAAGTCTGGCATCCCGCGCGCGCATCCCTGGAACCCTGGCAGACCTCTGCTCAGAGGACCTCTGCTCAGAGGACCCCAGCGGTGTCCCCGTCTGTGTCACAACATACGACCCTGCTGTTTCCCCATTTGAGCGTCTTCCTCAAACTAGGTTTTGGCGAGGGCCCAGGGATGGCGAGCTAGGGTACTTTGTGGATGTGAGAGAGTTAAAGGCAAGCAAACGATACAAATATAAAAGGTGTGAAGATTGCAGTTAGTGACTAATCTCCTACCCCCACCTTCCATCCTGCAAGGGGGAGCCCGGAGTTGGGACCAAAGAGTGAAGAGAAAATAAATCTCATGGCAACTGTTGGCTGAATTTAGCTTGGGCAGGTATGGGCAGTTTCCAGAGATTGTGGGAGGCTATGTTGTCAGAGACTCGGGGCTATGTGCTGTGCTGTGCTTAGTCGCTCAGTCGTGTCCGACTCTTTGCGACCCCGTGGACTGTAGCCCGCCAGGCTCCTCTGTCTGTGGGGATTCTCTAGGCGAGAATACTGGAGTGGGTTGCCATGCCCTCCTCCAGGGGATCTTCCCATCCCAGGGATCCAATCCGGGTGTCCCGCATTGCAGGCGATTCTTTGTCGTCTGACCCACCAGGGAAGCCCAGAAGTGGCTATAGATGTGGCCACCTTTTGCCTGCCCCAAGACCACCAATCCACTGTCTTGAACCACAGGTACCACCTGAGTTTCAAAAGACCAAGTCCACAAGTTGTGCCTCGAAGGCAGGGCTGAGGGTCTCCGGAGCGCAGGCTGAATGCATTAATTCATTGAGGGCTTATTTGCTGTGTCACTCTTGAGGGTATTTTTTTTTTAATGTAGGTTTGTCCATCTATAACTTGAGTAGATGCAGAGAGGATATTCAATACAACCCTGCCCTGGCAGGTGAGGGGAGGTATAAAAAACTTCCTCGAGGCTGGGCAGTGAGTCAGGCTCCTAAGAGTCCCAACTCCACACCCAGCCCTTTACTCACCAGCTCCAGCTCCTCACCGGTGTAAATCGTTGGCATCAGAGTTGCTGAACAGTCAAACGAGTAATCATAGTTTGGGGAGGAGGGATGGGTGAGGGAAGTGAACACAGCGCTTTGGGTTTACATCCCACTCTCCTAACCTCCTGCCTCTTCAACCACAAGCTCTGAGGCTTTTTCATGCTCTTTCTGATCTCCAACCGGATTCCGAGTCATTCCGTGGGTGCAGGAATATCCAAAAATTCTGTCTGCTTTCCAGACAAAAATACAACGTCAAAGCCATTTTAGTGATCATCTTAAGGGAGCTAAAAAGGCCTAGAATGGAAAGATGTCTAGTTTTCCCGTCATAAAGAGAGAAAGCCTTAAAATTAAGTAAAATTAATCTTTCCAAGAGAGAACAATGCAGAATCTGATTCAGGATAACACATTAGGAGTTCAAGTCTTGCCTGGGGAAGGCATCTTCCCAGTACCAAATTGTGCCACCATCAACTCATCTAGTGATTTATCTTTGACATGCCAATACCAAAATAGCATAATCTCTAATAGAAACGATTGTATGCTGCTTTCCTGTTTCTCCCCCCCCCCCCAAGTCTTTCCTTCAGTCAATTCCGTGACTCAGCAGCACGGATAGATACATCCCTCTTCAGATTCAAGCTTGTTTATTACACAGAAGGCAGGCTTCCAGAACAACTCCTTGGTGACAAGGAGCTGGACATTTTCACACATTGTAGAACTAAGCCTACTATGAAGAATCAAATCCTCATCAGGGAAGAGGAGGGAGGAGGGCTAAAATAAAGTTTGTGCTGAGTGTAATGTATGTGTAAAGATCTAGAGATTAAGGAAAGTAGGAAGAAGTGCTAAACTCAGAAAGATCATTTAGTGACTGTACATATATGCCTGTGGGTAGGGAGGTGCTTTAGCCCTTTACAGAATGTGGAAATGTGGGCTTACAGAGGCCTCAACAAAAAAATGCAGTTGAAGGTGTTGTCTTCCGGACCAGCACTGTCTGATAGAACTTTGGGGGCTGGAGATGACCTGTACTGCACTGTCCATTATGGCAGCTGCTAGCCTCAAGTGGCTTTTGAGCTCTTGAAATGTGCCTAGTGTGACTGAAGAACTGAATGTTAAATTGTAATTAATTTTAATCAATTTAAATGTAAATAGCCTCACGAGGCCAGTGGCTTCCTTACTGGGCAGCGCTTTACTAGACTATATATAGGTACATTTATAGGTGTCAATTATTTAAGATGTAGGAACGTCTTAGAGATCATCTGCTGTAAAAATCTGACCTGTCTGTGCCCAGGGAAGGTGTGGATGCTCCTGACTACATCTAAATAAGCAGTGCTTTAGAGCAGTGTAGCTTCTGTGCAAAATAAGAGCTGATCTGATTAGACCCAGTAAATAGAGGGTGGAAACTTCTACTCTGCTTGGCTTCTGATGTCTGCCTTTCCAAAAATATTCTCCTTAATTGCTTGGGCAATGACTGCTCCTAAGACTAATCAGACCTTTATGAGTCCCTCAAATAGTTGCATCTTCCATTTGAATTGCTTCTTCTGGTTAACAAATTGGCAACAGATTTGACGTATCTGTCACAATTGGAAGATAGCTGTGTTCAGGGCTCCCCAGTCTATAGAATCTTGATTTCAGGGTGTCATTGGGTCCCAGGGCTCTGGAATGCCAGCTTACTAATACCTGTAATTCCAGAGTCTATGCCATTAATAGCTATAAAAATGCAAATCCCCCAGGGAAGTAAAGCTTGATGTTATTGTCCTTCCGCACATTTAAGAGGGACAGTGGACACCTGGTATCTGGGAGAAAACGGTATAAATGTGGAAAATATTTAAAAACAAAAAAACCCCCAATACTAGAGGGATAGAAATAAAAAAACATTTCATTTACTATAGAAACTTGCCTAATGCTTGTGCTATTTTGTAAGATGTAAGATAGTGCCTTATATGGCTATCATAAGGATTAACTAGATATTACATTACAAAATACTATAAACTTCTATTTGTAGAGTCTTACTAGTTCTCATGTAATTTGTTTTTCCATCGATAAAAAAAGTCACATTACAAAAACCAAAATACCCAGGAGAGATAGAGAGGGAGAAAGCATCACCTCTAATTTTACTACTTAACGAAACAACTATTAGCATCTTTTTCTGATTTTTTTTTTCTTCCATGCCTGATTTTTTAGTTTTCTTACAGTGTACCTACAATTTTGTAACCAGAGTTCAAGCTTCTTGAGCTAGGCATTATATAAGGAAATATTATTGCAACATGTCTAGGATAACTAGGTCATTTAGTATCTGTCTGTCTCTGAAACGTTCTGCCCTTAATTCAACCCTAGGGCTGGGGCAATGATGCACTGTGATGAAGATTCCAATATAAACAACATCCATGAAAAAAATGCATCTGTGCCTATTTTAACATTTGATCTGTGTCCTTCAGATCTTAGTGTCCCTCTGTGAGACTTTATTGTGGTGTGAATTTACCATGGAAAATCAAAGGCTTGTTCATATCTGGCTGGAGTTAAATGAAAATATTAAAGGCGCAATGGGAAGGGAAGGGAGGTGTCAGGTGTATTATATACTTTATCTAATTTATCTTCATCAAACACAGTTGGGTAGGTTTTATCAACCATAGTTCAGAAATGAGGGGTTAAAAATACTTGCCCAAGGTTGTATTATTATTAAGTAGCAGTACAAAGATTAGCACTTTATGCCAGACAGGTAAACAAGAAAGTATATGCAGCCTTCATTTAAAAAGGAAAATAGAGGGATTTGATTTTTTTTTTTTTTAACTAGAACATATTCATGTATTTCTTGAGGGGAAAAAATTGTTTCAAAGGAAACCTTCAAAGAAAAGGGAAATGAAAAAATAAAATACCTTCTCCCCCAGCAAGAGTTAGTAACCTCTGGTAGTAACAATACCAGAAATGGTAAGAGATAACTTTAAGGATTTACTAGGTAATTAATGCCACTTTGCATAATCTCCTACAACACCAAAGAGAAAAAACCTGATCCTACTGAAAGGGAGTTAATGACCATATCAGCCCAGGAGGAAGACTAGCCCCCTCTAGTTATAAATTGTGACAATATTCTGATGTCAAACCTCTGACTATGCAAATAAAAACAAGGGAAACCGAAGGGGTCGGGGTGTAGCAGAGGTTCCCAGATTGGTTAGAAGGCAACATCTAACCTACTGTGTTGCTCATCTGCTCTCTGCTTTGCCAAATAGTAGCAAATCTGTGTTACAGGAAATTGTAAACCTCAAACAAGACTTCACCCTCCCAAAATGTATACATTGTTGCAAACATAACCTCTGCAGTTCTGTTTCCAGAACCCTGGAGCAATGTCTGACTACAATCTGGATGCTAATCAGGGATATCTTCCTTCACCAGAGGGTTTCTAAACTCCCAGCCCCTGCATCCGCCCCCTCTTGCCACATCTGCTGGCAATCCAAGGCTCGGCTTCCCCCCACCCTCCTCCTTGTTTCCATGGAGATGAAACAGTTTACTACCCCCCCCCAACTCTAAGCCATGGTTATTTTTAACTGTAAAACTCTGAGCCAGGTCACAGCTGGGATCTGGAAGATGCAATGACGTCTATAGCCACCCTTCTCTCCCACCAACGCCTTCTTTTCTGCAGTTGCTGGGGGTGGAGACACTCCCGGGAGATTTTGCTCTCAAAAGCGTTTTGCTTTACATCATTGAAGCTAAACCTGTGCTCACTGAGATCTGACAGGTGTCTTGAATCTGAAACTATGCACACCCAAAACAAGGCAAAGATCTTAGCGGGGGGGTGGGGGCAGCCAGGTAAGATGGACATTGCTGTCACCTACCTGTGGCTAGAGCTTAGATAAATGCCCTCTGGTTTAAAAAAAAACATTACATATATATACATATATCTCTCTCAAGATGTCATCCTCTAGGCAAAAAAAAAAATAAAATAGGGCTCTGGCTCCTGCCCCCAGTCCAGTGGCTTTTCTGCTGCAGCTTGACTTTGCTTAAAAAGAGGCTCCCAA